TGCCAGCCTGGGACAACCGAAATTTGGGCTGAGTCCAGCAAAGCCATAGGGAAAGGGCTGCCTGAGGCTGGGGACTCAAGTCCCACACTTGTGTGTAGAGGATGCAGAACATGGTGTCAAGGGAGATTATTCTCCAGCGTTAAGATTTAGTACCCATTCTGCTGGGTTTTGAACTTTCTTTTGGCCAGTTACTCCTTTCTTCTTTTCTGTTTCTCTCTTTTGGAATGGGAACGTGTAGCCTACACTTGTCCTATCATTTTACCTTGAAAGTAGATAACTTGTTTTGATTTCACAGATGGGACTTTGGCCTTTGGACTTTTCAGTTGGTGCTGGAACAAGTTAAAACTCTGGGGCTATGGAGATGGAATAAATGTATTTGTATGTGGAAAAAACATGAGTTTTGGAGGACCAGGGGCACAATGCTATAGTTTGAGTGTTTATTCCCTCTGAAGCTCATGTTGAAGCTTAATCCCCAATATGGCAATGTCGAGAGGTGGGACCTTTAGAAGGTGATTGGATCCCATTGTGAGGGCTCTGCTTTCACGAATGGATTTATCCAGTTATGGAAGAATGGATTAATGGGTTATCATGGGAGTAGAACTGTGGCTTTATCAAGAGAGGAAAAGACCTGAACTTATGTGTGAAATGTTCTTGCCCTCTTACCATATGATGCCCTGTGCGACTTTGGGACTCTGCAGAGATTCTCCACCAGGAGAAAGGTCCTCACCAGATGCAGAATTCCCAACCTCCAAAACTGTAAGAAATAAATTCTATTTCTTTATGAATTACTCAGTTTTGGATATTCTGTTATAAGCAACAGAAAACTAAGACTATGACTTCCCCATAATTTCTTATATCAAAGTAGGTGACCACCTGGTTTTTTATGTAAGGCTAGTCTTTCTCTGCTTATTTGTAAGTCCGTGCTACTCTTAATTTCATTTCTTTGCTGTTTCTTCCTGCTTCTGCTGCTTGTGGTAATGAGCTCAGAGTAAATATTTTATACATATGTGCTGCAGTCACCTGGATTTGCCAAAGTTTCTTACTTCACTTATCAATTGTTCTTTGTTCTTTGGTTTTTTAAGTCCAAGACAGCATTAACACTCCCCTCAACTTGCCCTACTTTAGACAGGCTTCTTTCTGACTCTAGGCCTCTGACTTCCCTTTTCTCAGGGCTTTTATTTTAGAAAACTTTCCATTGTAAATTCTTTTTCTACCCCTTTAAAATGTAAATATCCCAGTCTCTTACCAGTTTGACAACCCAGGAATGTCTTTCACAGGGACCTGGGAGCCAGACCTTTGAGATGTAACCACTGAAGGAGATAGTGCCCCATTTCTCAGTCAGTATGGAAGGGTAGAAGCCTAACTTTTTAATTGTGACAACTACCAAACAAGGATGGCCTAATCACATTGACCAACCTCATCCCCTAAAGTCCTCTAGTACTTCTCCACAAGTGCTTAAAACCCCTTCTGCCTTTTGTTCCAGCAGAGTTGAGTTTAATCTCTCTCCCCAATTACAATAATCTTAAATGAATTCTTTCTTGCTTGTTTAACTCCATCCAATGCAATTTGTCTTTCACATTTGGGGGCCAGCCCATGGCTCACCTGGGAGAGTGCGGTGCTGATAACATCAAGGCCACGGGTTTGGATCCCATATAGGGATGGCTGGTTAGCTCAGTGGGTGAGCTTGGTGCTGACAACACCAAGTCAAGGTTTAAGATGATCGCAACCCTCAGTGTCGCACCCGTACCGGACCGGGACCAGCAATGGGATCGCAACCCTTGGCTTTGGTGCTGACAACACCAAGTCAAGGTTTAAGATCCCCTTACTGGTCATCTTTTTTTTTTTTTTTTCCTTTTTTTGTCTTTTTTTGTGACTGGCAACGGATCGCAACCCTCAGTGTCGCGCCCGGACCGGACCGGGACCGGCAACGGGATCGCAACCCTCGGTGTTGCCCCCGCTCCTCGCTCAGCCAGTGAGCGGCCGGTCTGTATGTGGGATCCGAACCCTCGGCGGGAGTGCTGCTGTGCTCCCAAGCAGCGCACTGTAGCAGTGCGCCACCGGGCTGGCCTGGTATGTAGATGATAGGATAAAAAAGTAGACACTATATAGAAGGGAGCGCCGCCGCGCTTCCCAAGCAGCGCACTGTAGCAGTGCGCCACCAGGCCGGCCCAATTAAACTTAATTTTTAACAACAGGTAGTTGCTGGATTTGGCAAATGGAGGTGTTGTAGACTGCTTACTCTCGTTTTTTTTTTTTTTTTTTTTTTACCGGTCATCTTTAAAAAAAAAAAGAATCTCTTTGGTGCTTTCTTTTTTTATTAAAAAAAAAAAGACATTTCTAGATAATACTTAGCTGATGAAATTTACAAGTTCCTAAACCTTTTTTACTCCCTGTCTAGACATCACAGATCCCTGCAAGAAGTTACATTCCAAGTATCAATGTATCAATGTCAATCTTCTCTGATAATAGTTTCCTTTTCTTTGTTTTGTGTGCTGCTGATAAAGCTAGGGTAACCTGTGTATTTTTCAACAGTTTAACCCATTCTCAGTGAGATTAACTTTCTCTTTTGTATGACAGTCTACCTATCAAAATCAATTCTTCCCTCTGAAACCAGCCAATTGTTTTATCCAGAAGAATTATACTTACTGTGGATGTATCTTACTTAGTGCTGATCTAAACATGTTGCTAAATGAATTGTTAAGGTCCGACATGTTTAGCTGTTTTAGGCATCTGAGTGTTTAGCACACCAAGGAAAGAAAGATACATATTTGTTTGACTTGCTTATCTATTCTGATCACTAATCAGAACTCATTGAACTATTTAATAAAGCCACATGACATCCCTGTGAAAGTTCTTTGAAAAGATAAAGTTACAATTCAGGAAATGAACGTGTGATTTTCCTAAGTCTCTCTCACTTGAAGAAAAATTTAAAGTTGTTCTTTTTCTATGGCTATAAAACTTACATTGAACTTTCTTTGAGTTGGGCAATTTTAATTCGATAGGCATTTGCAACATACAGGTGTGTCTGTATCAAGCACTATATCAGGTGCAGAAGGAATTGGGATACTTAAACTCAGATAAGTATTTACAAAATCGTTAAATAATCACGTTTTAATAATTCTTATAGTGTGGTAACGGATAGAGTCTTCAGTGTTACAAAGATAAGTTCAAAGATTTCTCCCAGACTTTAATACTTTTTAATGGTAAATATTAATTTTTTTTCTCTGTCTGACAATATGTTGACCCATAATGTACACTTTGCTTTTTTTTTTTTTTTCCTTTTTGTCTTTTTTCATGACCGGAAACAGATCGCAACCCTCAGTGTCGCACCCGTACCGGCCCGGGACCGGCAACGGGATTGCAACCCTCGGTGTTGCTCCCCGCACCTCGCTCAGCCAGTGAGCGGGAACCGGTCTGTATGTGGGATCCGAACCCTCGGCAGGAGTGCCGCCATGCTTCCCAAGCGGCGCACTGTAGCAGTGCGCCACCGGGCCGGCCCATACTTTGCTTTTTTGATACCTGTGCTGTTTTGGATTTTTTTAGATGGGCAGACAGTAAGTAGGCTCCTTTTTCCCCCCCAAATATATTGTTTCTCTTTTTTCCCACTTACATTTCAACAATCCAGACATTTAAAAAAAAACATATTTATTTTTTAATTGACAAATAATATTTGTGTATACTTATGGGGTAAAATGTGATGTTTTGATCCATGTATACATTGTAGAAAGATTCAATCAAGCTAATTAACATATCCATCACCTCACCGACTTACATTCTTTTGTGGTGAGAACATTTGAAATTTATTATTTTTAGCAATTTTGAAATACTAAACCCATTATTATTAACTGTGGTCACTATGCAGTGCAATAGATCACTAAAACTTATTCCTCCAGTCTAACTGGAACTTTGGCAGGCAGTACCTAGGCTCCTTGCTCTGTTAGATTTGTGTCTACAAAAAAGTTTACAATGCCAGTGATCAGCCGTGCCATAAGTGGAGATACAGTAACAAACATGGCCTAGGAAATTGGAGGTCTTGGCTGAAACGCTCACAAAAACGTTAGACACATCTCTAAAAGTGAAAAAAAGTGAGGCGCATGATTAAGATTCCCCACATCAATTTTAATTTTCTCTTCTCTTTGTTAGTTCTAATACTGTCTTGGTGCCACCAGATTATTGGGAAATGATAAAGGAAAATACGAATCTTATTATCTGGGACTTTCCTTTATCTCTCTGACCCTCATTCTTGCAATCACTTTCAACCTTCAGTAGAAACCTAATTTTGTCTTCTTCCTTCTCAGGCAAAAAGGCTTACCACTCAGTCCTGCTCATCCTCATTCCTTATGCAGGAAAGAGAGATGAAAAGGCAATATGAGAATCACACTTTTTTCTTTATAACATTAATTTGAGATGTGTGTTTACCCCTCTGCCCCCAATGTCAAGTTCTTCTTCCTAGTGAATAAGAAAAATGGCTTGTAAGGGAGACACTACCCACTAATTACATATACAGCAACTATGCACTCACATAAACCAACGGGCTTTATTTCATAGATTCTTCACTGAAGTCAGTAAATATAATCTTAGTTTGGCTTCCCTTGTGTAGAAAGTTACCTCCAAACTCGTTTTATCTCTTGTTTTCCTTTGTAATTAAAAAAAACTGGTTTATAGGACAGATTCTTCCCCTCTACACAAGGTCCAAATGGCAGCTTACAGTTTTGTCCAGTAATCATGTCTAACTCCTCTTTCCCACGTGACCATATGATATCATTTTGCAGGGAAGACATTCAATGATTCATTTTACAGATCTTATCTAGTGCCTAAAATATGTTAGCACTGTGAAAGTGCAGGGGGGAAGAAAACACAGACTTTAAAGTTTAGTGGACTTAATGCCAGCACTAAATAGTGTTTATCAAGTGTCTGAGTGTGAATATACATACATATAAGTCCATAATTTTTTTTCATATAAAATATAGTCTAGTAACAAATTACGATGAACAACTATATAATAGGAGGCCAAAATGGCCAAATGTACACTTTATTCAAGGAGTTTAGGATTTTAAAGAAACATACAAATGCTGTAAGGATTAAGAGGTTATTTCTAGCATTTTTGTGAGCATTCAATGGAAACTATTGTGTTTCCATTGAATGGTGTTCTTTAAAAGTTCCATACTTACTCATCTCTGCAAACAGCTGTCTTCTTTCTGCCATGGTATTTCCTCTTTTCCCACTATCTTCAATCATTCTATGAGACAAAATAGTTACAATGTATATTATCCCCATGCTAATGAGGCAAAGAGTCACTTCTATGTAAACACACTTGCTGTATTTGAGCCATAAACATACAGAAAAACTGTTTAAAACTGTGTATTTAACCGTGTATTTAAAAAGTACGGCTTTACTCCCACTAACCTAAACTGCTGTACATATTTTTGTTATAATGTTATATAACGTTACAGTTGTTGGAGGGGATATAAACATATTTTCTAACATAAAAATAACTACAATAGTAAATAATCTTGTGCTACAACTAAATTCACTTTACATAGTTTCTCTTCCAATTTTGAGGATACCTACAAAGACTATAGAGCAGATATTATGGATCCCATTGAACAGACAATGAGACCAAGAGTGTCATGAACTTGGTGAACAAAGGCTGTGGATGTTTAGACTCCAAGACCAGTATGTCTTCTGCCTCATTCTGTTGCCAGTTGTCCCCTGTGCACTGAAAACCTCCATTTAGAAACGGGTAACTTTGTAAATGTTCATTTCTAAGTTGAATGTTTGGAACTTGAGACGGAGTTTTCCTATACATAATTTCATGCAAGGTTCACATCTCTCTCCTTAAGCATACTATTGCCTGCAACAGAACTTTTAAAAATGTCAACAATTAAAACAATAAAAAAAAAAATACAAAAAATTAAAATTTAGCTTGAGGAAAAACAAAATAATGAGAAAGTTAATGAAAATATTTAGCCATGTAGAGGACTTTGGGCTAAATATCAAGGGTTTTATAGGTTGATGGATTTGACTTTTTATTGTATCTAATTAAACTTGTACGACTGAAAGTTTCCTCTCTTATATACACACATATATATGAATACATGTGTATATCACCATGACTTCCATTGTGATTTCAGGTGTGGTTAACATAATGCATAGCTGCATGGATCTTTTGGTCTGTCTTTTGATAGGCTTTGCTCTTTCTCAAATCTAGTTATTCAAATCTAGTTATTTGTCCTTTTTTTTTTTGGCATTGGATTTCCCTCTCCCTGTCCTAGCTAAGTGCAGTAACACTTTGGGTCTCAGTTTAGAAAGTGTAGCTCCCTCTGAAATCTTCCCCAACTTTCTACGATTGCCAGGGTTTGGTGCCTTTCCTTGGAACCTCCATAGTGCGCAACGCCTTTCTCTCAATTCTGAGCGGTCTCTCAAAAAATCTTTGCTGGGTGTCTCCTATACTCCAGGAACCATACTAGGCTGTGGGTGTACTGCAGGGATCAAATCATAGTTCTTGCCGTAAAGGTGCCGATGCAGTAGTGGTAGAGACACAGAAGCATAAAAGCAACTAAAACACAAGGAGGTAATTATAGCCATAGAAGTGGAAAGATGTGAACACGAGAGAGGTTGATTCCATGGGGATAAATTTAATAGAACTGCTAGCAGAAGACTGCTCAAAGGGTAATGGGCTGTGTACAGGGTAAAAGAAAAAATTTAGTGGTGAAAGTGATGTTGGTCAAATTGGTCAAATATCCTCACCAGTTGCTTTTGTGAATGAAGGATTATTTACCCATTGCCTGGAAGGGAAAGAAGCACATGGAACAACCTTGGTTTATGGAGTCAAGGGAAGATTGTGTACACACTTACAATGGGTTAGATAATATCATCAGGGTCTGGACTAAATAACAATTAGAAACAAGTAGAGTTATTAATGAAGCTTCCTCAGTATGGAGACAATTCACTGCTAAACATGGTCAAATCCTTTCTTTTTATAAGATTTTAAATATGTAGATACAGTTGATATATAGAGATCTGGAGAAAAACGCCCCTTTCCTGATTCACATTACCCCATCTCCTTTACTCTAGAGAAAGAGGGTAGAAAATAACATGATCTTCACAAAATAGTCTGGATGTGGCTTCCAATTTTTATTTCAAGGGCTCATCAGTAGAGTTGAAGCAATAAGAGAGATAGGGGACAGAACCAGTGAGGTATTCCTGCATCTGTCTATATGTCAGAACAAGATGAAAAGGACCATTAAAAATAAATCACAAAGGACGGCAGGCTGGAGAGCTCTGATTGAAAACGTCAGAAAGGTAAGGACCAGCATCTGAACTTGCAGCACTTACTGCCTGTGGTACTTGTTTGGTACTGTTGTGACATCTCTTTTTTCTATTCAACTTTTTGTGTCTCTTTGAAAGGCTTTTGGGGGCAGTAACCTCAAGAATTTTAAATTCTTCTCAATGCCCAGCAAAATCCAATTAACAAATGATATTTCCAGTAAGTTTTTATTGAATAAATGAGTGAAAGAAGAAAAAAAAAAAAAAGGAGGAAAGAGAGAGGAAAGAAAAACAAGCTAAGTAGCTAAGTTTGCTTTCCATGAAACGGGCTTTCAGTTATATTTCCAAAATATGACTCATAGAAAAGTGAAATTCAAATTGTACTAGTTTCAGAGGTTAATTATTTGAAATGAGAGAAACTAATATCTATCATAATCTAGAACCATACAATTCAAAGTGAAATCATGTCTCCTGAGATGGAAATTGAAAAAGATGCAAACTACACCGAAGTCAACTTTTTAATCTATTCATCATCATTTTTTTGTGAATTAACTCATAATAGAGACATCATTAGTTACACAATAGGTATTAAATCTCACTTCTTAGTAAAATGAGTACCTTATGAGGAAAAGAAGGAAAAAAAACTCAGTAGTGTTAAATAATAGAAGGCACAGAATATAATTATAAATATAAAAGGAAAAAGAACACACTTCTCATTTTACCCCCAGAGTTTCCTGGGAAGCAGCACGGTTAGGTAAAATTGAGAGCGCTCGCTTATTACCTATTGATCATAGTCATAATAGTAAAAAGTGGGGGCGGGGGCATGCTGGTGTACAGTGTGCAGGGACTCAATAGAGGGACTCAGACAAGGTAAGCTCATGAATCACACAGGCAGTGAGCACCACTGTGGGCTCATTAGTTTCCAATTTCATCCTGATTAGTGGGATTTGAGGCACATAATGCTTGACTATATCCTCATTGCCTAAGAAAGAGAAGAGCACAACATTCTGTAGGGGAAGGACTGAGTATGTCTACAGAGAGCAGTTTTGCTTCTGAAATAATGGAAATTCTTAAGAAACTCTGCTTTTCATGAATTTCAGTATAGCAGCTGCCCAAAATCTTACAGAGGAGGTGAAGGGGAAAATAACCCATCTGTAGTGATACTTGTGTGTATCACAAGGCATGTGGCTCACCAACAGGCATAATTTGGTCAGTTTCTGTGGCTTCTTCATGTAGATGACATGCTTACAACCCTAGAATTTGCAAGAAGATTATGTAAATGTCAAAAACATGAACAGATCTAATGGTGATGAGTAAGTGATAAGCCTCGTCAGATGTTTCTTTTACTTAGAGCTCAGTCCCATGAATTACACAGGACATGTGTTGTTTTTACTCAAAAGAATCCACTCATTCATTTATTTAAGAAATATTTTTAAAGTAGCTATAATGTGTCAGACACTGCTACTTTCTCGAGACCAAAGATTAAGAAGACACGATATCCTTGCTCTTAGAAGCGCATAACCTAGAAGGAGAAACACAGTTTTCTAACAAATATTTATAATTTGGTGTAATACATACTATAACGAAAACGTGTACTGCCAGGTATAGTACTTTATTTCTGAGAAGATCTGAAAGAGGATGAATAGGAATTTTTCAGATAGAAAAGAGTGGAGGAAGCACAATTAACATTTAGGTGGAATTATGAAAAAAAAAACATGAAGCTTTAAAAAAGGTGTGATGCATTTGGGAACTGGGAGTCATCCTGTATTGCTGAGTTCATGTGTGAGTGGAGATGCTGGAGAGATGAAGAGGCATAAAAACTAGAAAGGCTTACTTGGCATATCTAGACAATATAGAGCTTTTCTATTGGAGACTAGGTGCCTTTCAAGGTGTAAGTAGGGAACCGATGCATAGATATTTAGGTTTTGGCAAGATTACTCCAGCATGTTGAATGGAAGGCAGGAGGGGAGGGGTAGGAGCCCATGATTAAGGGAAGGGTCCAGTTAGTTGGCTACTTCTATGATTCAGGAATGAGACTATGATGTCTTATGCTAAGGGACTGATTTCAGGGTGATTTAGAAGACACATTTGATAGGACTTGGTGATTGGCAGGCCACATGGCGAATGGCAGAGGAGAGGGCCTCCACTTTTGCTCTCTCATAATAGAAAATAATCTTCTGCCCCCATGGCAATAATGAGTTTGTAGGAGGTGAGGTCACCAAGTCACCCTTCTTTTGGTACAGTCATTAGAAGAGAGTTGCACAACTGGACAGGAAGGGCTCCAACTCTTTGCCTCATATATGTGGAGGGATGAAATAACAGAGCAAGACAGTTTGGGAACCAGTAAGAAATAAAGAATAAATCCAAATGTAGGGCAGAGAGTGTTAGAAGAAATGTGAATTATATTTGGCATAGTGAGAATAAGTTCACCTTGATATATCACATCCTTATGACACAGCTTTAATCCAACACAGTCCATAATAAATACACATTTCCATTACACAAGGTATATAAGAAGTTTTATAGGTAGGAACTTAAACTAATGGGGTCTTATATTTGTCTATATTCTATAATCTATATGGAGATTATAGATTGGTTTTCCCTGTAACCTTGTGAGGTGGTCAGGGAGATATTATTATTCCCAAGTTATAGCTGAAGAACTTGAGACTCAGGCAGGTAAAGTGGCTGCCCCAAACATAATTATTTTTCTGACAGGGCAGGACATTGAATCCATTTTATTTTTGTTTTTAATTTTTAAATTCCTAAGCCAGTATGGCCAGTAATTAAGATTTTCTGAAAGCAGTTAACTGAAAAGAAGTTGATAGTGAGCCAGGAGGTGCTAAGTTTCCCTGGGTTAAGGTTTCAGGCCACTGCCTAGGTCTCACACAACTCTCCTAGAAATCAAGCCCTTCCTCTGAGTCCTGAGCCACCTTGCTTGTTGTACCTATTTTTGGCACAGCATGCAGGAGT